CCAGTTTGCATGGACGGACGGGACTGCGGTTTCATCCCAATCAGATTGAACTACCTGGGTAACTTAACTGGGAAAACGGCTTGTAACGGGAGAAGTCTGCCAGCCAAAGTAAGATCAAACAGAATATTGAAGGAGGCTTTTAGGCATTTAATAAATCACAATAATGATGGGATCTAGAAGACCGCCATCAATCGAGAGTCAGCGTAATATTTCAGGACTGGTAATTGATCTTAAAATCTGGGTTTAAGTTAGTACTTTGCCATTCAGTCTAGAGTATCCGGGAAGATGAGGAAGAATGCATCAGGAAGATTGTGAGCCACGGACTCTAGATAAGCAGCGTCGGTCAGATGAAAGTTAATTTCCTTGAAACCAGCGTCGTTGGGACTGGCAAGTTGAGAGAAGCCAATTAATTCGGGCATCCGACTAACTGATAGGCGAGATTCGGCACGCAGAGAGACAGAGGCCAGAGTTCCGAATTCTTGTTTGTCACTCTTCCGCTTGAATGGAATAACTTATGACAAGCAACGTCGGAGAATTCAACTTGACACAATTAAAGTGTACACGCGTCCGTAAAGAGTTGTCACAAGTAAGTGGGCCTGACGTTTCCGACATCGCTGTTTTTTTAACAGTCCATGGAAGGCTTCATCTCTTTAGCAACGTGGTACATTTAGAGAATTATGACAGGCCGACTTTGAACATCGCCGCGCGTTTCAGGATTGAAGTCCGGTTGCGGTGAAAACTTTTTCTACTCACGCATGAATGAAGGTTACCATAGTAACTGCTATTGGGAGTCGGAATGCTGCCAACCATCCCCTGAGTGCCTTAGTTCTTGGTCTGGTCATGGAATATGGACTCATCCGCGCATCGCAGGTTGACTTGCCATAAATTGCAAGAGGTTGGACTACGGTGCGTGTCAGGGTAGGCGTGATAAGGGTTATGAGAGCTGGTTTTATGGTTAGGATTAAAGTTATGACACCGGATCAGGTGGCTTCTGGAAGATGTCAGCCAGTGGTTCTAAATAGTCCATGTTTGTGAGGTGACTGTCGGGCAACCATAGATTCATTTTTAGATAATCATAGGTGAACTTTAAGAAGAAGAACCCGTTCAAAATCCCAGCTCCTTCTCGATCCTTCATAATTCTCCCTCATTCATAACAAAATATTCGTTTCAGTTAGGGTTTTCGAGGTTCTTAGATAGCTAAGAAGTCAAGTTCGGCAAACGAAAACTTTCGATAATTCATCATCAGGCCTGTACTGTTCTTAGATATCTCTGGTCAGGAAGGTTATCATTAGAAAAAGTGAACTACTCTGCGTTTTCTCTACAGTTCTCACAAAAAAAGCTGAAACTTGTGATTATACTTAAAAGTTGTTTTTCTGACACTTAATAGGGGTTTTCACTCTTGCCTACCTTCCTCGCTCTCCCCTCTCCTATTTAACTACATTTCTGAAAATGGCTTGTAATCATGTTTGTCCTTAAGACGCAGCTCGTGGAGATGACTGTCAAACGCAGGAAACAAGTTTAAGTTAAACTACTTTGGGGTAGGTCTGAGATCCAACATTGTCGCATTTGAAATTTTTCCCTCGTATGAGGGAGTACTACAGTAAAGTAATAAGCGTGTGGTCGACAGAATTCCATCCCGCTTCACTTACGAGGTGACTTATATAAACAGGCAATTACAGAACTTCTCTGTGATGCAAACCTGTTAAATTCTGGTGTTTGGTGAACTTTAGTTTTTTGGAACCGTTAAGACTGCGCGAGCATTAATATCATCACCAATTTGAACCTTGGCTTCCTTTGAAATAGAAGAATTGCACTATTTTTGATCCAATGCTCTCTCTCTGTCTATTCGTACAACATATCCAGTAAAGTTAGTCATTTTAATGCGCTGTACCCGACGGTGGATACAAGGTCCTTTGATTCGGGAGTCCAAATAGCTCGGTAGGCTCTGACGGTGACCAAATGCTCGAGACAGACAAAACTGTCAGTGATATGGAGAACACATAACGCCTGCCAAGTTGAGCTTGGTAACTCAATCTCGAGTTCCGTAGGCAGCCGTACAGCGACTTGTAGTGGGGGCCAAATAAGACTAATGACAAAGAGAAGGAGTATATGTTCTGGCAGATTTTAAATGATCCATACTGACCCAACCATACAAAAACTCGGCGCCTCGTTGGGATTCAAACCCACGACAGTAAGGCGAAGGCCAACACTCTAACCACCTGATCTACGGGGTCCCGTCAGGAGACGTGAGTTTAATCACATTTGGGTCACGTTATCCGCCCAACCTACTGCAACGTTTGGAAGCCACCAAATCTGATACAGTAAACTGACTGTTTAAACAAGGTTTCTTAAGTAATCCACCTAGAATCCACTAAATGCCTACCAGGCTAACGTCACTAAGATATGTTTTGGCAGATTTTGAATAATTTATATTAATTCACCAAGGCGCCGAGCTTTTCTCAGTTGGACCAATATGAATTACCCTAAATTCGCCAAAAATGTCGGAATTACGTGGACCTGGTAGCCATCTGGTGGATTCTAGGCAGATTACTTAGGAAATCCTGCCTGGGCAGTCAGATTACTGCATCAGATTTGCTGGATTCCAGATGTTGCAGTAGGTTGGGCGGGTAGCATGACCCAAATGTGATTAGACTCGCGTCGTCCGGTGGGGCCTCGTAGCTCAAGTGGTTAAGGTTTTGACCGTACTAAAGCCTTCCTCTTCCTATTATGAGCCCAAATCCCACCAAAGCGCCGCGTTTTGCACAGTTCGATGGCCATTTTTGACCTATTAACCGTAGTCTGTCAGCCAAACCCAAACCCAGGGTTTGCGGCACCTGACCTCCAATCGCATATTCTTTAATCATCAAGTATTGTTACGCCCAGAGCTCTGCCAAATGAGCCACGGTCTTATTGCCATATCGTTCGTGGTTAGAAATGCTAACTATTTTTGTCATCTTTTCCCCGATCATTCCTCACTTGAAATGGCAAGTAGACAGTATGCGACCCCAGTCAAGGAACCAAAACTAGGTTATCATGTAATACTGGTTTTGTGGGTGGAGCTAAACAGCGGAAAGGAGAGTGTGATGGATAAATTTTGAAGGGTCACATTGCGTCCTCGCACCAAATATCTCTACAGCTACTTATAAAAGAGCACACACACCAGGAACCCGATCCCGGGGAACGATGATGGTATCATGATAATTAACGGTGCAAGCAAAAGTCGAACATTTTTAGCGGTCCCTCCAGTCTGTTTCTGCAAAAGACGTAAATTGTATGCCATCTACTGACAACAGAGTGAAAACGTCAATTATATATATATATATTATACCGTACTCCCGACCTGGATACTTGATAAAAGCCCAGACACGTGTTTCGCCGATATTCTGCCGCTGCATGACACAGCTGCGAGGGGTTCGGCTCTTCAGTGGGACCCCCAGCGTTCTCTAGCGGCAGAATATCGGAGGTTGGTCGTGGTAGCAAATTCGAATAAGTCCTCGAAGGCCAGGCTGCAGTCCAACCCGTTTACAATGTAGAATGCTTACATGAGATTCCCGCGAAGTTGCCTGTAACTCAAAAGGAAGAGGTTAATATCTACTAGGCAGGTTGCATATGGAAAGGAGCTTTGACCCCTAGGTGGGGTCGCATACTGCGACTCTGCTCTTCTAGCTTCCGCTTTATCCAACCAGAAGACCCGCCAGATTTTCTGTCGAAAACGTAAACTAAGTCTTTTCTGACTATTATGTGAAACCATAGGCTTGAGTATGTGATTTATTCTGGAATTTAGAGCATGATATTATTGGAATCTCGATTTTTGAGTTTTTAACATGTAGGTGAATTAAGATCTTGTCATACGCCATGTAAACACAAATGCGGTGGCTCGCGCAAATGACCTCAACGTCTTTTTAATTTCCTAAGAAGGCAATGTGTAAATCAGGAGTCTAGTCTTCAACATAAATTCTCTCAGGTTCGGTCTGAAAGTTAATATGAATACGTGAACTGAAATCCATCAGCCCCGGCACCACACTCTGCAATTGGCAGGTTGTGTGTTATAAGTACCGATTGACTGATCTCATCTTCAGCGCGGATAACAACCACCTGTTTCGCCTCGACTGCGATCGGTTCGGCTCATCAATGGATTCACCAGATCCATACATCTGGATAATATCATCAGGAGCAAGCACCATGAGGCGCAAAGCGGACGCTGGAGGACTCACGTGTATAAGTTGAACCTCTGCTCCTGCCTCATGCGGCGACATCAGATCGCGAAATGCGCATCTGGGGCCTTCAGTCAGCGCCCATGCTGGGAATATGTTGAGCCAACCAGTATTTTATGAATAGTCCTGCAAGCCCCGATTTGTTTTCAGACTACTTTTTTAATCGAGCACGCTCGTTTCCGTCAAGCATCACCTCTAAAGGCGACGCAGTTTCTTCTCCTCCCCCGTAAAGGTCGTCGAAAGCCTTCTTCAAACTTTCGTGAGGTTTACACGCACTGTAACACATTAACTCAGAAATCATCTCATTAGCGGGCACTTGGGCTCTGTTCCTGACCATTCGGGTTTAGGCTGTCAATTTTATTTTTTGCGCATTGATAGGAGAATACTAACGCTGCTTAAACAAAACCAACTGCAGTGCCTTCCAGCCCAGGTATAATGCCTTGCAAAAAAACCGAAAAAAACAACAGGCAGAATGTAAAATCCATGCATCATCTCACGAAGCGGAGGTAAACGAACGAGTCGGTGCCTACAGTAGGCCTGTCGCTGGGCTGAAGCGTGGGCGTAGACTGTGGACTTAGAGGGGTATGCTCTAAGCAGTCCTTGTGATCTACGTTTGCACTGTTTGTGCTCGCATAGCGACCAGTATTTCGTGTGCACATACCCGTAGGAGGGCATCGGGTGAAGGTACGTTCCCACCACATCAGCGCCACGGGGAATTTCGCATACGAGGGGGGTCAACTCACCTGCGCCGCCGTCCCCGGTGTTCCCGCTGACTGAGGGAGCATAATGAATCTCATCTTCTCCCCCCCCCGTCTACCATCGGAGTCGATCTCCTCCTCCCCCTCCTCCTCTACGACTCTCTCAGACGTCAGTCAGTCTGGGTGTATAATCTGTCTTGCGCAATGTGTACCAGGTACCTACCTAAACCACTTTACTTTCGTTTGTGTAGGCTCCACAACCCGCTGTGCTCGTGCGACCCTTTCTGCGTAAATCAGTTAGGATGAAGACGATGGTGACGGCGATGATGATGATGATGATGATGATGATGATGATGACGACGACGATGATGATGACGACGATGATGATGATGATGATGATGATGATGATGAGGAGGAGGAGGAGGAGGAGGAGGAGGAGAGAGGCTGCGCCGAAAACATCGCCGATGTCATCTAGGGAAGGTGACTATGAACTGACTTATGATGAACGGATCTCAAGGACTGTTCAGGCAGATTTACAATTCGCAAACAAGAATCAAGAGCATTCGTCGGTCGACCTATAAAATTTAAAGCCACTGTAGGGGCTGGAGGCAAATAGTTCCATTTCTTATCCAGTTGTGAAGTAAGGGAACTGGAAAGAAGATCTGTCCTTTCACACAACTTCTTAGTTTGTCTTGAGGTCAATAAATTAACCCAATCTGACTAAAACTATCCAGAGCTAATGAGAGTTGGTAGTTTCGCCTGCAAAAAGACAACTTTAGACTACACAATATGCAGGCTACAAAAATAGATACTGCCTTCAAAAAATGGGTTATTTTCGGTCGCTTTGGTATTGTTTTAGGCGTAACCCCGTGCACTGTAAGTCGACTACGAAGTTCAGTCAATAGGCCTTTCGCAGAATTATAATGGTTTGCACAATCTCTAGCAAAACCTGAGTCAGCGGATTTTATGACTCTTCGATGTGGCTCATATTGCTTCACTAATCATTTTATAATTCAAAAACATCCGTTCTGAACGAAAGGTTTTCCGAATAACGCCTACCTAAACTGTAGGTTTCTCCATCCCGGCTGGTTGATGTCGACGAATAAGGCGTAAAATTTCACTTCAATCTTTCTTTTCTTTGTCGGTAACATTCCCAGACTACGAATTGTCCGAGACGCACGTCTTCACTTCTGCAGCCAGTATAGGCGAATAAAATTTGGCCCTTCTATGGCACAGAAATAATTACCCTAACGAGACTGTATTAATGCACCACACGGCATCGAGAAGCATCCTAGCTAATTGTTTCCAATTGAAAAATTAATTTAACTGTCTTAGCAAGGACGCCGCTGATTTTACTCCTAGTCCCTGCTTCGTAGAAGCTAACATTTTCTTGGATAATGCACTAGGGGAAAAGAAAATACATGGCTTTTTCGGCTCAAAGCGGGAAATATTATACAGCCTAGCAAATGAGAATTCATGGATACGTCTCCTGCAGTTTAATAAGCATGTCAGATTAGTCGGGAAAGCTTTGGCGAATTTGCAAGTGTAGATGCACGTTCTCTGTCATCATATGTATGGGCTACTGAGCACTTTTACGAGAAACTTTCGAGTCTCGAGGTGCGCTTTCTCACAGAAGCGGTACATGAAATTATCAGGTTGTCCATCCTCTACAAGGAATAAAAACTAGGTTCAAAATGTGCGAAAGGTACATACAATGGGTGGGCTAACCCATGAAACGTCAACCGAAATTCCGAAATGTGTTTTCGTTTCAAAAAGATTAATTGAGTACGGTTTTAAAATGAATCCCCGTAGAGCATAATTCTATAACAACTCGTGTATCTCGAGATGCCGGCTTTCGAACGAACTCCTTTGGGGCTGCATGTTAAAACTACACCTTGTAAAAAATGACTATTTAAGTAGCATGAGTTTTTCTCATTGATTTTCGATGCTCCTAAAATTCCAATTATATTTCATGGAATATATATATATCTCGACCTCGTATCTTTACCCATATCAATATATATATATATATATATATATATATATATATATTATGACAGATGGGCGCTCACCGATCAGGTCACAGAACATGCTCGTTCTGTTGTGCCTTGCGGCTCATACTTAAACCCTCGCAGGCAGTCGCACAGCGACTAGTGATATATGTTGATAAGGTGATACCGACAAAGACAAGGGAGACCGGAATGGCCATTTCTGGCTTAGTAGCCGTTATCAGCCAGTCATACCCAACCTCGAAGTGTGGGTCACTTGAGATTTGAACCCGCGATCTTTGGTCATGGAGTTTGACGCTCAACCATTGAGCCACGGGCCCGTTGTCCTGTCGGTTGTGATCGATCAAGCGATTTACACTTGGGGTTGGGTATGACTGGCTGATGACGGCTTATAAGCCAGAAATGGCCATTTCGGCCTCCCTTGTCTTTGTCGGTATCACCTTATCAACATATATATATATATATATTCATTGCCCTGCATATTCAGTAGACAATTACGTCTTCTTCCAATTTTATACCCGAATGAAGGGTATCATTTTGTTTTAAAAAGTTTCCAATTGTGAGATTTCTTTAAACCGTGAAATAACCATTCACAAAAAGTCATGTCTCTGCATTTACCAATGTGGCTTCTAAAGTTAACAACATGGCTCAAATCCACTGTTCAATTTTATAAATCCCATATGATCTTCCCGTAATACTTTAGAAAAACGTATGTTTTTCCATACGCAGAGAATATACGGCTTGTAGTGTGACGGCAGGCCGGGTTCAAAATTATTCGGGAATCGGAAAGGCTTTTGAAAACTGAATTATATCCCTCCTTCACGCATAAAATAAAACAAAACGTAATTGTCTACCAAATGAAAGAAGTAAGGAATATTTTCATGCACGTTTTCCACGAAATATAGTTGAATTTTCAGCATGGAATATCAATGAAAAAATGCACGCTACGTAGGTGGTCATTTTTTACAAAGTACTGTTTTTGCATGCAGCCGGAAAGAAGCTAGTTCGAGAGCCGGCATCCTGAGATAACTGAAATATTATAGAATTATGTTGCAAGCTAACTAGTTTTGCAACCCTACTTAATAAATATTTTCGAAACGAAAACAGATTTCGGAATTTCGGCTGGCATTCCATGAATTAGCCCACCTACTGTGGATAATCCGTCATTGTGTCCGATTTCCATAGGTAAAAGGGGAGGTGCAAAAATAAAGCGTCTTTTATGATGTCAATGACCGCAACATAAGAAAACTTCTATTTTTCCACCTAAACGTTAATTCAGGCAATGTGGATAGTGTTAATGAGCTGCAGCGCCCTCCCACAATGTAGAATGATTGGAATCGACTAGTTCGCATTCTTGCCATCCGATGGCATACAAAGTTCCTTTGACTCTAGACTGCCTGATTCTACATTTTCGTATATTATACTGCAGGCTTGTAATGACAGACGACCGTAGTCAGCCTTCTTTGATTTTGAAAGCCTTGGTAATCTGCTTTTTCGATCCACTGGTACTCTTCTCCAGTCAGCGATGAACCTCGAGCTTGCGACAACTGAACAAAAGGTGGTTGGTCAGGGACGTATTGGAAGGTAGGTCGTTTGTTATGCGAATATCGTGATGCTCATGGTTACATTTGAGGGGGCAATTTTACACATGAATAAGGGGCTGATCTCTACTCCTAGTAGGTTTGAGCAACAGTTAGTCGACAAAAAGTAGCGTGTGTTTTCGACAACCTACCTCAAGGGGCTTCCGCTGTTGTAAGTAGTGTCGGCACTCCTAAAACCCCTAAGGTCCTTAGGCATCGAGATTTGGTCCACATAGGCATGGATATGTCCACTGAACATTTCGGCGTAGGTTTTAAGAAAAAGGACTTACCTCAGGTAGCAAAAAAGTTCCTCGGGTAATGAGGTAGGCCCATCTCCCTTATTCATTTCTATGAGTACACTGTGAGCGTAAACTAACATATAAGGGGTAGTCTCCACACGTTTCCGTAGATGTAAATTTTAACTAGAAGGCGGGAATCCCAAGAAATATAAACTGAAGTCAGATAATTTTATTGACAAATTTGGAAACTTTATTACGTACATTTCGACGCCGATTCTTCGTGTAGATTTCAGACGTCGTGTAAATGTGCAAAAACAGTGAACATTTCAAACGGGCTTCAAAAATGGATATCTGTTCCGTGTTTGCGCCAGAAAGCGGCCGTCCCGTGTGTAGCCATGTATCAATTGGTCCTCGTGTCTTCCAATTTTCCTCGAGATTTTTGCACACAGCATCTAACTCAGTATGTTGATTGATACATGACTTGGAGAAACTCGATCTTTTTGGTAGAACAGACGCCGACAAAGCGAGTTCTGATTCAGGCGACGGTATGCGCGTCGTAAGGACAACTTACGACAGACGATCTCGCCTCTTGGCTTCCAGTATGTTCTCGTGGATGAGTAGAGAAGCGGATTTTCCCCTTTGAGTTGCTTAAGGAGTTGCAGAAGGAGTACAACACCGGCTATTGTATAACATTTTTGTATTATTTTGTTCACATACCGGCACACTAATAGAGAGACATCTTTGCTAAGGAAAAGAAAAAAAATTGTTAACAAGAAGGCGGAATTACTTTGCTGTTTCCCTCCAACTTACTAAGTATAATTGTATGTTAATTAAGGGCACTCGTGCGTAAAATATACCGGTGCTTTCTTTGATTTCAAGTCGGAAACGGATCGCGCAATTTGGCACTTGTCTACATAACGCAATTTGCATTAAAAAAAGATGATGGAGAGTTTTTGTTCTCTCACGGATACGCTGATCACGGTCTTTGTTTCGAAAATTTACCTGCTTCGGCGGTGACGTTCCAGCTGCGGTTAGCTCATGAGGAAAGTAAATTTTTTATCTGCAGGAGACAAAAGCCGTTACAGACTACGGCGAATTTCGTGGCCTGCCGTCTTTCGGCGGTCTGGATGAATTACATCGAGTTTGGCAGTTCAGCAAACACACAGTCACGGGCAAGCCATTTGGCACTCCCCTCTGAAACGCCTTTAAATTCGACGTCTTCCGCGGCTGACCGATTGTTTCGTACTTCAGTTTTATTTTAAATGGTGGTCGGTTTCTCTAGATGCAAGTTACATTCTTTTCCACGGGGTAATGGTTCGCTTTTACATGAGTCTCCGCCATTTGCGTCAAACGACGAAAATGAGAAAAGAGCCGCTTAAATACCAGAATGATATCGTATAATGATTCTGTCTTGCGACCAGTTTCAGAGCCGTGCACATCTTTCAAACAAGAGACTCTTTTTCCTGGTTGAGTCTTCCGAATACGCAGATTCCGATCTTTGCATCTCTTTGCAATTTTCAATGTCGTTAAATAAAGTTTTCGCTGTCGTACTTACTATTTCGATTTTAAGCAGCACCTTAATCGGTCTAATGTTATTCACTGACACTTTTCACGCCGTTTTTAATTTTTTGAAGTGCTTTCTGCCTG